GGCTTTATAGAGTTGTGTTCAGATGGTCCAGTTGCACTTCATCGCTTGTTTGTCAAGGCGCTGGCTCTTGGAGTAGATATTGGAATCGTCAAGCCTGCAAGATCTCCCAGCAGTTTCTGAGGCTAAGTTCTGCAGAGAGGTGGCAAAATGCTTCCATGAAGTTTTCCCAGGAAGAGTTCCAGCCTACTTAGACGCACAGCGGCGCTGATCAGACAGACCCCGCAACTCTCGAGATTTTGGCTCACTGGGGGACTCAGCATGTAGTCACACCTATCCCCAAGCCCACAACCCTAGACCCGAACTCTTACTACTTATCACCACTTTACAAAGGCACTACGTCTGCCAAGTGCGAGTTTGGCAAATGCGATCTGAGGAGCGGGGAAACCTTACTGACGACATGCTGCATGCTTGGGGCGGAGATCCGGATGCTCCCCTGTACCCACAGGCCTCAGGGGTTGAACGATGTAGGATCTATACGATAAGGGCTCAGGATTCAAGGCTTCGGAGTTTTGAGCAAGGGACACAAAGTCCTTGCTGTCCTCTTCAGTAAGAAATCAAGGCTCCACAACTCCCCCGAAACACCCACTCAAACAAGGTCCCGGCCAATGCTTGGAAGGAATAGAAAGGGTTGTGATGCTTCAGGAATCTTCCGGGGTACGGGAGCAGCCCTGATCCTGGGCAGTCTCTAAACGCCAGTCATCATAGCCTGGTCAAAGTCGAGTTCAGACACTGGCACTGGGGCGTATGTGGGGACACAAATTTAGAACCAAAGCAGGATTCGTGGGAGCTTCATAAAAAAGATCCTCAGTTTTCTGAATCTCCACAGCCGCAGACGCCGCTGCGACCACATACATTCTGCAGAGATTGACAGATCTAGTCATCAAGCTTGAAGATGAAGACTTGTGCACACGCCTCTAGCGATGTTCATGTTCGAATCAACCGAAGTCTCAACCGCCCATGGCAGTTGAAGTGGCAAGAAGCATCCTGTACACGGGATACAAATAATGCTGGCAAGGACGACTGCCGTTGGCCGTTGGCAGCATCATCTTTTGTGTGGTCCGGTGTCATCCGTCGTCGACACGCCGACAGTCATTATTGTGTGCATGTACGTGCTGTTGCTACTTCCATTGCTCTGATTGTAAGTCAGGCTGGTATAATATGATGTTGTTATGCCAATCTGTCATTATTGTCGTCGTCGTTGTGGTGTTGCAGTCGTGCTGCTACTTGCTGCGGCTGCTGCTAATCACTGTCGTCGTTGTTGTCGTGGGGTTGCTGTTGTCGCCGGCTGCTAATTCTGATGCTGCCTCTGATGGCTGCTGCTGCTTCTGCTGATGTGTTTCTTCTTGTTGATGTTGCTGTTGGCAGATTCATGATGGCAGTGAAGTTGTTGTAGACATAATTTACAATCATAGCATTGCATCCATACAAGGGGTAAATTGAGTCTATCCGCCTCACTGCCCCAATCACCCTAGCCCCGCCATGTGCTCTTTGATTAAAGTTTGGGGTGTAGAATTTTCGGAGGGTGGAGTGGGCCAAGTGTGACAGGTCAGGGCAAGCGCCCCCTACTGCTGACAAACTCAAGCACTGCTCACGCCACGGTCCTTACAATCATCTCACTTGTAGGAGGTGTCAACATCACATGTTTACACCAGTCATCCTTTCGAAACGAGCCTGGGAAGCTTGAGCCTTACCCCGAACCCTAAGCTCTGCTAGACCCTAGCCGGAGATATATCAGAGTTCGACGGCCCCCGCAGCGCCGGAAGACCCAGGAAAGTCCGAAATCCTGGCCATGCCCAAAACCCACCACCACGGCAACGAGTGTGCCGAGTATACCAAGTCCGGTATTTTGGATTCGACGGTGCCTGTTTTCCAGCGATGCTCGTCATCAGGATCTTCAATCCCACTTTTCGATCTGTACATCGGTCGCTTCCTTCCCGCAGCTCTCACTTTCATTCTGTACTTGGAGGATCATGGGACTTAGCAAGTAAGGTTATAAGTACCCTAATTGGGGTTATAAGTATAGTTACCCTAATAATAACTCTACTTACTAAGTCCCATGATCCTTTAAGTATGATTGCTTCTCTCGAACCCAGAGGCGGCTGCGGATGGAAGCAGGAATTCAAACCGGGAGCGAAAACCTAATCAAATCTCGAAGTAGGGGCCTAAGCCCCGCAACAAGACCGCAAAAGGAGCCTTTCAACAGAAAACCTCAAGCCTAAGCTAGGATGGACAGGAGCCGGAGCCCTTCAGCACATAGCAGATGCAAGTGCAATCCGAAACCCCAAAAGCCCTACACCCTATACCCCTGAATCCCCAAACCTTACACCCGAAACCCCCCCTAAACCCTTAAACAGCAGGGCATCATGGACTATCTGCACTTTCCAGAGATGGCGGAAGTCGGGGGCATGGCCCGGGGCTGAGGCCAAAGTGGAACCGAGGGCTTTCTCCCAGTGGGTTCGGGTTTAGAGGTTTAGGCTTTAGGGTTCAGGGCTTTTGGGCTTTGGATTAGCTCGTCATGCTGTGTATGCGTGTGCATGGGTGAGCGCTGATGTGGGCAGGTGCGCAATGAAGCCGCATACATGCTCATTGAGTCATTCGCATACATATGTATGCATTAGCCGCAGCAGTGAACCAGGTGAAGACTTCATTGGTGCACTGCGGTTTCATGGGCAGATGCCGTTCGATGCAGTTCGTTGAAACCATCAAATGATGGGGTCGAACTGCTAGCCCTGCCTCAGCTGATGCTGGTGATGCTCGCCACGCCGTCCCCTGCATTCGTAAATTTAACTTCGGCGAGCTGCTAGCCCTGCTGCAAATTCAAGCGACCGGAGATGGGAGAGTGAGTTTAACACGATTTCCAGCTGATGCTGATGATGCCCGTCTTGTGGTTCACTTCTAGGTAAAGCAATTTCCAACTGATGCTGATGATGCTCGCCGTGCGGGTGGCTGAATCTATTAATGATTGGGGCGAACGGCCGGACATGGGAGAATAAGTTCAAAACACTTTCCAGCCTCGCCGTGCGGATCGCTGAACTGCTATCAAACGGCTGAAGATGGTAGAGTAAGTTCAAAAGCATTTTCCAGCTGATGCTGGAGATGCCCACCTTGCGAGTCGCTGAATCCAACCCATGATTGGAACGAACTGCTAGTCGTGCTGCAAGTTCAAACGGCCAGAGATGGGAAAGGAAGCTTAAACGATTTCCAGCTGATGCTGGTGATGCATCCGTCCAATGACTGGGCCGAACTGCAGGTCGTGCTGCAAGTTCAAACGGCCCACCATGGGAGAGTAAGTTTAAAACTGGGACGAACTGCTAGCCGTGCTGCAAGTTCAAGCGGCCGAAGCTGGGGGAAAAGTTCCAAGCACTTTCCAGCTGATGCAGGTTGATGCTCGCCGCGCGGGTCGCTTAATCCAACCAGTGATTGGGACGAACTGCCAGTCGTGCTGCCAGTTCAATCGGCCGGGGATGGGAGAGTAAGTTCAAAACACTTTTGCAGCTGATGCTGGGGATGCTCACCGTGCGGTTTGCTGAATCCGTCCAATGACTGGGACAAACTGCTAGCCCTGCTACAAGTTCAAACGGCCGAAGCTCATGCTGTAGATGCCTGCCTTGCGGGTCGTTGTGTCCGATGAAGTGGACGAACTGCTGGTCGTGCTGCAAATTCAACAGCTGGAGATGGGAGACTAAGTTTAAACGATTTCCAGCTGATGCTGGTGATGCTCGCCGTGAGGGTCGCTGAATCCGTCCAATGACTGGGGCGAACTGCAGGTCGTGCTGCTCAGCTCAGACGGTCGGGGATGGTTTTAACGATTTCCAGCTGATGCTGGTGATGCTCGCTGTGCGGGGCGTTGAGTCCGCGCAATGACTGGTACAAACTGCGAGCCGTGCTACAAGTTCAACGGTCGAAGATGGGAGAGTAAGTTCAAGGCACTTTTTGCTGATGCTGGTGATGCTCGCCGTGCGGGTCGCTGAATCCAACCAATGATTGGGACGAACTGCTAGCCGTGCTGCAAGTTCAAGCGGCGCAGATGGAGAGTAAGTTCAAAACTTTTTCCAGCTGATGCTCGCCGTGCGCGTCGCTGAATCCGTCCAAAGACTGGGACGAAATGCTAGCCGTGCTGCAAGTTCAAAATGCCGAAGATGGGAGAATAGGTTCAAAACACTTTCCAGCTGATGCTGGTGATGCCCGCCGTGCGGGTGAATGGGACGAACTGCTAGTCGTGCTGCAAATTAAACGGCCGGAGATGCCGGAGATAGGAGACCAAGTTTAAACGATTTACGGCTGATGCTGGTGATGCTCGCCGTCCGGGTGGCTGAATCCGGGACGAACTGCAGCCATAATTTGCATTTTTCCGGCCGGAGATGGGAGACTAAGTTCTAAACGATGTCCGGCTGATGCTCATGATGCTCGCCCTCTGGGTCGCTGAATCCATACCGTGAATGGAACGAACTGCTAGATGTGATGTAAATTCAAGCGGCCGGAGATGGGAGAGTAAGCTTAAACGATTTCCAGCTGATGCTGGTGATGCTCGCCGTGCGCGTCGTTGAATCCGTCCAATGACTGAGACGAACTGCTAGATGTGATTGCAGATAAATTCAATCGGCCGGACATGGGAGAGTAAGTTTAAACGATTTACGGCTGATGCTGGTGATGCTCGCCGTCCGGGTGGCTGAATCCGGGACGAACTGCTAGCCATAATTTGCATTTTTCCGGCCGGAGATGGGAGACTAAGTAGAAACGATGTCCGGCTGATGCTCATGATGCTCGCCCTCTGGGTCGCTGAATCCGTTCCATGAGTGGGACGAACTGTCAGATGTGATGTAAAAGCAGGCGGCCGGAGATGGGAGAGTAAGTTTAAAACAAGTTCTAGCTAGTGCTGGTGATGCTCGCCGTGCGGGTCACTGAATCCGTCCAATGACTGGGACGAGCTGCTAGATGTGATGCAAATAGATTTAATCGGCCGGAGAGGGGAGAGTACGCTCGGCAAACTATTTCCGGTCATGCTCACCGTGCGGGTCGCGGCATGCGTGCAATGATTGAGGCAACCCAGGGCTGAGCAGGCATTTATTGAGCTTTCTTTCAGCGTAATGGCGAGGAGGAGGAGGAGGAGGAGGACGAGACAATTGAGAGCAGCAGGCGCAGGAGCAGCAGTAGCAGCTGCAACAACAACAGCTACGACATGAATCAATTCCTGCAGCTTCGCATTGCATCCGAGGTGCGAGCGCGCCGTGGCACTGAAAATGTCAGCCGCGAGATGCCGGTGGAGGAGGACACCCGACATGCAGACTCAAGGCACCAATGAGCTCCCTAAGCTGGTAGCTCCCGGAGATCAACTCCTCACTCGTCCAGCCTCGTGATGTGCAGCAGGACGGCTTGCTGCAGCTAGCCAGCGACATGCACCCCGACTGAAGTTGGAGCTCCCTGGGGGTACCCTATTTCGGGGTCCTTATAATAAGGATCCTACCATTTAGTGTACCACGTTAGGGTGGGTGCACGTGTTCTTGACTCGACCGTACCTGCCGAGGCTTAGCCACGAGCACCGGGAGCAGATCGACAATCGCCTGCGAGGTCCTCCAGCGGGTGGCATAGTTTTTTAAAACAAATAGGTTTTTTAGAAAAACCTATAAAAACAAAAAAACACGAGATGCCCCAAAGTCATCCAAAGCCCCACCCTTACCACGAGGCTTCTAGACCGTCAGGTTAGAATTTAAACTAAACGAGCCCTCGGGAGCTGTTTGCGCCAGCTGCTTCATGTTGCTATGCCCTCTGAGAATCTGAGAACCCGTACTAAGTTTAAATTCGCCAATACCAACACCCTCAATCCCTGAGCCTCTAAAGCTTTCAGTCCCAAAACCCCAAGCCCGGAACCCCAACCCCAAAGTCCTTAGCCCGGTAAGCCCCAAAGTCCGCACAAGGCCGCCGCTGTGAAGTCAATGGCGAGCAGCCGACCGCAGGCGCCTGGATGGCGCCCAGTGCGCGGCAGTGGCTGCAAGCCGCATCTCTGGGCTCCTCGGATGGAGCCTTTGGGAGCCTGCCGGAGTACATGATCAGAGCGTGTTGCAAGTTCGTTTTATGCCTGAGAAGTATCTATATGGTAGTGTTGGATGGGATAGGATATAGGGTAGAGATGGCATGGTATCACATGGTCCAAAACGTTACGTATACATGTATATGTCCGTATACATATACTGTACATACATATGCTTATGGGCATTCAGAGATTCGATACGTGTTTATTTACCGCGACAGGTGGTGCATAATCCGTATATGATCCCCTTGTAAGCCCTTGTAATTACCTTTTTCTCGCTACATACAGAAGATATACACACATACCTATTATATATATATATATGTATATATATATACACGCATATTTACTTGTTTTTGTATTTTTCATGCAGAGTGTGTGAGAGCGAGAGAGCGAGAGAGAAATAGGACCAAATAGGAGCCGGCAACCCTGCAAGACCCCTTCCAACAGCGTGCCGAGCGCGTGGGAGGCTTCATCATCAGACCAATCCGAAAACAGCCTGCTTAGGGTATATCGGATCCAGTTAGTACACAAAGCCGAATGTCAGATGACTGATTCCACGTCAAGGTACGAAAAGCTTCTCTACGGAGCACTACATATACAAAGAATTAACAAGCACCCTCCGATCAAGATGCTTTGACTACGTGGCATAGAATATCAGGCAATATCAGGTACTGGTACAGGTTGATTGAATTAGCACTGTTTGGTTCTTTCCATCACGAAAGTCACCCCCAAGGAGCACCATGGGAGCCGAAACAGCTTTGTTAAAGTTGCGAGTTCAGCTGATGCCCAGCCCGAGCCAGGCAACCTCCTCGCGTGTAGGTTCGTACCATGCTTGTTGCACACCTTTTGTGGGAACATGGAGAATTGGAGCGAAAGTTTGACAATCCCTCACGAAGGTGTGAAATCCAAAAGTGCATTTCTCTGGGGCAGCTTCTTCCTGCCCTGCATCCCTGGCATCCCTTTTCTCGGCAATGAGCCCCGAAGCCGTTCGGGTCCTGGAAGGTCAGGATTTGATGTCCGACCACGACTCGCCAACTTCCAAGGCCGGGTGTCAGCCCGCTTTTGCCTGTGCATCGGGTCCGCGTTATGCCGCGACATGCTGCGAGTCTTGATGTACCGGTGCTGTGAGTTGAGATGCCAAAGCCGATTGCGAAAGGGGCGAGTGTCCAAGCAGATGTTTAGGAGTGCGACCACAACAGCAAAAGCAGGAATCCACAAAGAAACACCAGCATCAACTGCGTAACGGGCAAGATTGAACCCCTCAACTCCCAAATCCCTCAACCCTTCAAGCCCGCCTGAACCCTGCCAACCCCCAAACCAGATATCCTACACTCTAAACTCGTCCTAAACCCTAAACCCCTAGAAACCCCTAAATCTTCCGGAAAAACTAAACCTCGCTCCAGGCGAGCCTCAGTCGAACCGTTTGGCGCTCCATGGGTCAGTGGCGCTTGTCGGCTGAAGAGCCGAGGCCTGCAGTGCCTGGCGCCCTCATCGTCACAATGAGATGAAGATCGAGAGTACATGATAATAATGATAAGAAACGGAGTAGTGTGGCAATAGTAGTGATCGTAGCGGTTTATGCGGGGTGTAGAGTCCTGGGCTCAGGACCCTACTATGATGTAGGGCCTTTGTAGGGCCTTCTGGCGGTCGTGCTTTGAGGCCTTTCCAAGTTCGGGTTACCCGTCCGAGTGCTAGCCTCTTGCAAAGCGCTAGAATCCGTTAGAAGGACCCAAAGTCGGATGTGGACTGAGAGCGACCAACTCGCACCTGCCTATATACTCCATTTTCAAACCACGTGCGTCAGAGTCGGGGTTCTCAGGGCTCAGGTGGTAGATGTTCAGTTGTCGGGTCCACGTGAAGCTTTGGCACTTTTCGCTCACTGCACAGCTGCCCTTTTGGAAGACTGCAATTGGCCGTGAAGTTGTCTGTTTAATTATACATCTGTCTTCGCACACTTCTATACAGCTCTGCCCGTGTAACGGACATGCACACATATATACATATATATATATATATGTATATATACACAAATTTATACACATGCGCGTGCATGTACATTGACATAGATATACAGTTGCATTCACACACATCCATATGTGTATATATATATATACATATGTATATACATACCTTTACAGATAGATTTCATGCACACATACGTTAATGCCTACGCACTCTGATTCCGACCATCCCTGAACAGGATTTTCCTTGAGTGCCGTGCACCAAGCAAGTGTTTGGGCAAAAGCGATGCCAAGTGGGCGCATCTCGGCCCCCGGCAAGCACTTATGGAGTGCCCAAAGCCCCTTCATCGAGGAATACACCTTAAAGCATACAGCGGGCTTCTCGCTATAGTTTAAGGTGCAATCCTCATCTAAGGGGTCTTATGCTTTCTGGGCATTCAGCATGCAGGTCCGATGATGTCTGCCTTTGTTTATCGCACGAGGCAGCGGCAGCTCAGTTTGCCAATAGTGGGAGCTCAGCCTTCCGTGTTCGTGACCTCAGTAGTGCATAAGCTTGTACACTAAGTTCAGGTGCGTGCAGGCACGCAAGTACATGTGCATACACATATGGAAAAACCTAAATTACATTACGTACCCACAGACGTACATATATATATATATATATATATGTCTGTGTGCGTGTGTACACATAGCTGTGTACATTATGTAGACAGACCAAAATCATATAGCGAGAGAGAGCACCGCGGCAAAGCCGGAGGACGCGCCCTAGTGCCCTGCGAAAGAAAGAGTGATGTGGGACACCAGAGTGACACAAGCCAGCCGCAAACCATGCCCGTTCATACAGACCAAAGTCACATCTGACCAAGTAGAAACAATCGGCCCCGAAGAAAAAACTAAACTCCCTAACACTAAAGTCCTTTGCAACCCCGAGGCTATGAAGGCATGCTGCTGGAGACTGCTCGTGCCATCCACCGCTTTGAGCATGCGTAGCAATATCGCACACTTTACGGCCCAAAGCGGCGAAGCATCAGCGTAGGGTACCTCTCGAATCTCTTGCGAGAGAATGCCTTTCGCCGCTGGACCTGTCCTGTGTATTTCAGGAGCCGATGGGCTGAAGATGGCTGACGAAGCAACGAAAGTTGTGCCTGCACGGAGACAGCGCGAGAAGCATGCCCACTCCCTGCAGACACCGGCTCTCTGTTGCTGCTCGGAGAGTGAATCCGGTGTTCAGCGGAGGAGTTTCAGTGAAATTGTCATGATCATGTATCACTACAGCTAGCGCTGCGGCTCCAGGTTGTCATGATCAAGACCCGAACTAACTTCGGGATGAATTTTATCCTTGTTGTGCTGGGGGGGGGTCGCTGTTGTTCAAGATGCTGTGCTTGTCGTTTGACTCAACGTTCTATTCGCTTTGCGATGGTCTTTGTTGTTACTGCTGTTGTTCCTGTCCCTCCGTTGTGAGTAGCAGCCTGAGCAAACTTCAGGAAAGCCCGATATCAGGCAGCATCCCGATTCTTGAGCTCGTGGCCACCTTGAGCTTGAAGTAAGATGGCCGTAACCCAAACAGCCCTCTAGCATCCAAGCAAGAGGCCTTACCGTTTCAGGGCTTGGGGGCAGCATGACGAAGCAACTAGTTCTCAAGGCCCCGCAGCAAGTCAGAAGAAACTTCCACGGTGAACGCACGACTACCGAGTCCTTGCAACACCGGAAAAGCCGCAGATGCAAATCCTAAGCGGGAATCCCACGCTACTAGCACCGAAATTCTGTAATTCCCAAACTCTAAACCCCCTTGGTAAGCCCCAACTATCCTAGCCTGTAAACCTGTAATAGCCTCTCAAACAAGAACAAACATGCTACACCCCCAAAGAACACTCTGAATTTGTAAGACCTCCTGATCAACAACCACCCGAGGCCCCAAATTCAAGCTTCAAAGTTGCAAAAGTCCTCAACCTCTATAACCTTTCTAGAACCCTTCTAGTAGCCACCAACCCTTATGGAACCTTTCTAGAGCCCTGAAAGTAGCCCCCATAGAACTCCCGAAACCTGGGGGAGGCCGTGGGCCTCTTCGGGGGCAACGCCCGGCTTTTCAGCGCCGTCCAAGCGGTCAAAGCTGCTCCCGAGCAGCCCCCAGAACGCTTCGGTACATAGTATACTTAAAGGATCATGGGACTTAGTAACTGGGGTTATTATTGGGTAACTATACTTATAACCCCCAATTATGGTACTTATAACCTTACTTACTAAGTCCCATGATCCTCCAAGTAGGGTTCAGATGGGGTTAGGATACCCAATGTAGTCTTTAGGCATACCTCAGGCTCGTTTAGGGTTTGTATGGGGTTTAGGGCTGAGGGTCTGTTATCCTATGCTAGGCTATGCTTTTGAGAGGTACGAATTTGGGGTTTAGGGTTCCGTAAACCTCCTTACATAATTACAAATGCTAGTTTGGGAATTTGGGGGGGTTCCTTCTTTTCACTATAGTACAACATATCCCCAAACCCTATTCTAAACATGAAGGCCTGTCTATTGATGCTCCACCATGCTATGCTATGCTTTTGTTACTTAATATCGTACTATACTTCACTGTACTGTAGTTTCCCATAGTATCCGTTACTGCTGTATATATTTAGGCACTATGAGGGATAGCTGTTTCTACTTCTTCAGACCCCTGTGTTATCTGTCCCCTTAACACAATGTCTGCAATGGTCCTATAGGGGATTACAGGTTCCAAGACGCCTTACTTGTCTTTGGGTTTTGGAGGCTTTTGCATGGTGCCTATGAGGAGTTATGGTGCACTCAATCCCCGAAGGCCCCTTTTATTGGGAATCTGCTCGCAGTGTAACATCATATCCTCCAGTTCTCGGACTTAGGCTTGATGCCAGTGTCGCGGGTATTCGTGCTAAGGCCAGACTTTATGTAAGGAAAGTGCCGAGGAAAGACAAGCGAAGGAAAAAGACGAGGGGGGAGAGGGAATTCTGCGAGGCTTTGACCTCCCGGCTTCTGAAGCATCCGATAGGCTAGAAACCTGGCCTCAATAAGACTTGTGACACTTATCCTTACATCAAAGACCCTGGGCATGAAAGGCATGCCATCAAGCTTGATCCCTCTCTTGAAAGGGCACGAAATCCGCGAAGTGTGTCGATCCTTGTGCTACCAAGGTGTCCATCTGTGCCGTGAAGGTCCACCCTGGGAAGAGGCCCAAGAGTTCGTTGGGTTGTGTATGTGGCGATAGGGATAAAATTCGGAACTATCAGGGAAAACGCGGTCGTCAGCTTGGGCAATATCAGCATTTCCCCGCGCTTGAGCTTGAGACGGCTGTACTAGTAACGGCTGCAGTCTTCAATGCACCGGAGATACTCACTATCCGGTCCGGCAAGGGCGCTAAGCAAGACTGTGATGGCTTGTCGAGCCAAAAGCAGGAAGAATCCCAGTTTGTGTGTGCCCGAAACGAAGGCCGGACGAGCCAGAGATGCGGCTGTTGGCCAAGCTCGTCAGCTCGGAGCCTCAAGCATTAAGGTATAGAAAGCTAGTAATCGTCTATATATATATATATAAACAACCTACTATAACCCAATACGGTACCTTACCTCTACCTACACGAGCTCATATAGTGTGCACATGCTGACCATGGTGATGATGATGAGAGATGGTATACCTGAGAACCAGATTTCGAGCCACGTCGTCTCTGGCGGCTGAGATCATGTACAAGCCGAGTGCTTCCGGTGTTGGTCCGTCAGGCTCAGGCTTCTGCATCGTGATAACAAGGATCCAGCCTAAGCATTCGCAGATGTCCATCAGCTGAGCTCTGTGCATCAAGATCTTTCTTGAAGTAGCCTAGCAAACGCACCTTTTGCACGTCAACTTGGCGCCATGGAGTGTCTAACCGCGGTGTCGCAACTATGCTCCGCCACAAAGAAGCAGACGAGGTGCATCCTTCTGGAACGTGTCTCATAGATCGCACGGCGGTTAGGGGCCGCACGGGGCCATGGTTGTGGAAATGACATGTCCATACCGTGAAGCCGCAGTCATCAAGAGTCACAGGTTCGATGTACCGGATGCTTCACATCCTTCGATGGCAGTTATAAAAAAAGTTCAGAGTAACATGCAACGACAAGAGCCTAAAGCAGGACACCCTGCGCTCTGTTCGTCAGTGAGCTTACCACTGGGATTGGCTTGTAGCTCACACTGCCAGACCTTGGCTGTTGCCGAATGCAAGCAGCAGTTCTGCCTTGTGTCGCATTGCCAGGCTCTACATCATCCGGTCGTGGCCTGAGAATTGATAAGTTGGCACATCTCCTGACACATTTGCTGAGCTTGCTACTGTTAGAGAAGGAGGCCTAGTCCATTTTGTGTGCTGGCCTGCGAGGCACGGTGAAACCGCTTCCTGGACTGCATTCTTATCGATTCTTCCGGGATTTCGGAACATCGTTTGGTGTTTGGACTAAACTGCGGCTTCCTTTGATCATCGACAGGATCCCTATCTACGTCTCCAGTCTGATGCCAGCACTGTTCCAGTCCGACCGATTGCCGTGGCATTTCCACACGCGAGGTCTGGAATGCAGAGCGCCGCATTCAGGGGCAGCTACTCGGCAGGAAGGATCGCAACTAACCGTCTCTCAATGACACGGGATGCCAGTGCTCTGTCAGACAATTTCGGGCCACGGCTGCAGGACTTTGCTGACAGCAGCACGTCACAGAAACTGAACTCAGCAAGACTGCCAGCTGCTGCACCAACGTTACATGTTCAAAAATCCGCAAGCGCGACACATGGATCCAAACTCTGCAGCCTCTGTCGCACCACTGTCGTTCTCAATCTGACCTATCTATGCAAGCATCTTGGGTGCAGAAAGATGATTCAGGCTTGACATCGACCTCAATGAAGTGGGCAAGGTTCAAGCCGAGGCACGCTATTGCGAGCACTGTGATGATTATTCTGATGATTTGCCACGGTCAGAGCTACCGGCAGTTTGAGATTCGTAAACATGAACCTAAACCCTAAACTCCTGCAACTGTCGTTCATTGTGGTCGTTCTTCTTTCAACGATCTTGGCATATGCAGTCACCATAACAGGTTGATGAAAGGTCGAGATCTGGGGCCCACGACTACTGAGAGCTTCTAGTTTAGAAGGAGCTCTTGCTTCCTTTGCTCGCAGAATACTGCGGATGCCTTGAGCCGGCTGGGCGTGCTCGGCCGCGCCGCGGCCGTCGTCAGTTCAGCAGCTGGCGCAGCACTGGCAGCTGCAGGGTCCCAGCATCCACAAACTTCGACAACACGAGAAAGCAACAGCAGACAGCAAGAGTAGAAGCCAGGATTGCGGAGAGCAACATTCATAACTGCAAGAGCTTGCTTGTAAAGTTCAAAGACGGTCATTAAACCAATCGGAAAATGTGGTGACGTGGAGAGGAAGGAAGGATCAGCAGTGTGTGTGGCATACGTGGTTTAATATGTCGTAGTGCAGGCTCCAGACACAGGCTGCACGCGTTCAGAGCTAAGGATCTCCTCCGAGCCTCCAGGACGGCTGACATCATCGCGGACGCTCGGGCGCAAGCTGCTGAGTATAAGGGGAATTGCAATAAGGTGGGCGAAACGTCCCGCGTCCCAACCATATAAGCTCAAGTTCGCCCATATTCGCTGAAGAGCTGCCAGGAAAATTCAATAGATATCCGACTCCTGACTCTTGGTCACGTGCTGGGCCGCTGCATCCAGACCAGACCGGGATTATAACCCTTATTCTCATTTTGGGCTTTACCTCCACTATATGCCTGGAGACGATCCTCTAGCCACCGGTTCATACTTATAGTCCGCACGTAGCCCAGGGTAAGCACAGGTAACCAGCCCACGGCGGCTGCGTGGTCAGGTCATCTCCATGCTGCGGGAGCAACAGCAGCAGAGAAGCCAGATAACCTGCCTTCGCTGCTATTCTTGCTCCTGCATCATGGTTATGGCCGTGGGATCAGGTTTCGAGGTGCACAAACAATGAACAGGACCACCGTGCAATCTTAGCGCAGCGATCCACAGGACACAAGGTTGCTCGGAACCGCTCAAGCATTGACCAACTTGTGGTATGAAAGAACTCACCACAACGTACCGGGCCAAGTGTTTCTGCGAACTTCGAGCTTCAATTTGAGGCCAAGCGGCCAGATGGTAAAAAGGCCATGTCAACTCACCATACCCATTTCCGGAATACAGTTGACCGCACCTGGCAATCGTCAATGACATACAATACAGAGACATAGTACGTAATGTTAATCTAGTGTCGTACATGATACAGTATATCAGTACAAAATATAGTATATTCGTATACAAGATGGTACGTAATACTATTCCTATGTAGTATATCAAGCTGCGAAGTGAACGGGGCCATGACCTGAGGCTGCCAGTCCCCGCAAGCTGCACCGAGCGACGGATGCAGGCTGACGCCAACTCGCTGCGGGAGGATATTCGACTTTCGGGCTTCAGGGCTTAAAGAGACTTAGAGTAAACTTGATCAGGTTTGAGGATATTAGGCTTTAGGGCTTTAGGGTTTAATGACTTAGAGTAAACTTAGAGGGATTGTTCGTTTGTTAGTGTGTGTTGTCTCGGTTTCCTAGAATTTCAAGGGGAGCCCCAGAAAAGGAATCGTTTTGTTTCCTTCCGGCAAAGGACCCAATCTACCGGGGAGTTGTCGAGTGTGAAAATGCAGGCGCCATATTGCAGAAGAAGCTTCTTTCAATAAGCTCTAAACACCTCCCCCATCTGGTCAACAACCTGTAACTTTCCAAGTGGCAATTCCTTGCAACGCAGTGCACCCCGAAACTCAAGCTACCACAAGCCCCAAACTCTGAAGCCCTGAACATTCCTTCAACCCTCCCCAAGCCCCAGGCCCTAAGCGATTAACCGCAGGCTTCCGGGAGATCAACTTCGGGAAGCTTCAGGGATCCAGCTCGGACTGCCCTGACAGCCGCCGGGCTGCAGAGCTTCCTTCCGGCTGCAAAGGATTGTAGGTGGGAGTTTCCGAAAATTAGGGGTACCTTATTTTAGGGTACTTATAGTTTAATAAGGATCCTACTATTTAGGGTCCTATATTAGGGTCCCCTATTTTCGGATGCCGTAGCAGATGCCTTGGGTGGGAGGGTGGCAGTGTAGTAGATATCGGCTGGGACTGTCAGACCCCCCTATGCTGGCATGCGAAAGTGTCTGAATCCCAGACGTAAGGCAAAGCGCTCCAGACGGCGAACATAAATGCTCGGCCCCTAGCAGTTGCTGGCTGACTCTCCTGTGTCGAGTCGGGACTACTTGCTGCATAGGTTCATAGGGCTTGGGGAGCTCAGGACTTGGGCATTCTGGGTGTGTGAGGGCGTCACGTTGAGAGTACTGAAAGTCTCCGAAGTCTAGGACTTGGCTTTGCTTACCGGCAGGGATTGGCCCCAGTGTTCCTCGTCGTCTTCTTGGTATCCTTGTCCTTGTTCTTGGCCTTTCGGGAGCCGGTGGGGGGAAATCTGGACTGGTGGCGATCCTCTCGCGGCACAATAAGTGATACTGCCGGTGTTCTCTTGCAGGAAATGCAGATAGCTTTAGCTTTGCTGGAGCTCGGGATCTCATGGGACTGCTCATTGCATGACTTCTCCCACAGGTTGCCCTGTTTGTCTGAATCCATGGCCTGAAATATGCGACTGACCCAAAGCATCCTCAAAGGACTCAACACCCTTCGGTTCGAAAAGAGCCCGGCATGGTTTCATCAGCCTGTCCTATGTGAAGCAAGGGTGTTTCACTCTAAAGTCTTAAAGTGAAATCACGCGGGACAGGCCTGGCTGCAAGGCGACCTCTCCAAGGCCTAAGCAGGGCCATCGCCAGCAGCTCAACGTAAGGTTCAGGGTTTACGAGGGTTCCTGAGTTGAAGAACCCTCACCAATTCAACTCCGCCTCTGAAGTCGAAGCTCGGACGATGCGAAGGTATTCAGTAAGTAAGGCACTGCAAGCTTGCTAGTCGTTTGAGGGAGTCTAGCGGCCTAGCGTGCATGCTCGAAAAGATCAGAAGCATCGCAGTTTTGGAACCATGACCTGCATAGCTTACTACACATGCTGCATGCAGCCTGTCGTCGTGACTTACGATGCGCTTCGTCCCTCGTCTTCCCTTCCATCCCAGCCCCCGGAGCACCTGAACACTGCTTGCAGTAGCAATTTCTGAGAGGGGAGGGAGGTTGCCCATTTCCCTTGCTGCACTTGGGTCAGGGCTACCCGGAGGGTGAGGACGGCTGTTCGCTCATGTCGCGATCGCTTTCAGCACTTCGCAACGCCGCGAAGCTCGGCGAGGTGGCCCGGGGTTTGCGGATGATGTCTTCCCGGTTGTGCCTTGCAGCCTTACTTAAGGTGAGGAATCTGAGGTCGGTGTTCTGCAACAGGCTCTCCTGCGCAGTGCTAGACATATTTCGTAAGGCCGGCCACCAGTATCGCAAAAGTCGGCCGAGTTTGTGCTCCCCCATGCCTCTGCGGCCATCAAGCACCGTCAAAGCAGCAGAGGTATATATGATAGGGCTGTCTGCAGGTTGTTATCGTTGTGGCCCACGGCGGCATGTCGGGCCCTCTGCAATCGGAGGCTGTCCGCGATGGCTTTGAGCCAGGGCATCAGGTGTGAGGTGACAGGCCAGTCAAGAAGAAGCCGCAGATCGACAGGTGTCAGATCAATGCGGGGAGGGCTTTGGTCAGAACATGTGAGGTTTCACAAGTACTTGCGTGATGTTGCGTGTGTTTTTGGCATGTTTGGGCCACAACGATATCTTGCCCAAGGCGCTTGTTAACTTCAGGCTAAGAATGAATGAAAGTGCGAAGACATCCTGGCACCGAGGATTCGCTGGAGCGCAGCTCAGATCGAAAGCGGCGAGGTGCCAAACTTGCACAGTCATCACGGCTTATGACGTGCTACATACATGTAGTTACATACTTACATATTCGGCCTGCCAAGAGGCTCATAGGCCCAAAGGGCTACATTCCCAATGCTTCCAAGTTCGAGGATTGCCCCCGATACAATCCAGGTGCCGCTCCGGAAGGGTGTGCCTTTCTCCGACCATGCAGCCACGTAGCTCTGACAGCAAAAAGACGGTTGCTAGAGTCGCAAGAAGGACGGGGCACAGTGCCGAATGCATACGTGATCTCCGAAGCAGGAACAAGAAGCCGATCGGGGTCGATATTCTCTGTGCGTACATGTTGCATTGTCGTCTTGACCCCGGAGAACTGAGGCTGGTGAAGCAGCCGTGGCTCGGGTGCAAGATGATGTCATCCGAAATAAGCGCTACAGTTGTCAGCTACCATGGAATCCCCGGTGAATCCCCTGTCATGGAGTCTGCGGCATCATACAGGTTCATTAGGCAGAGGCCGGAAGGGCGGGCAGGCACACTCGCGTGGGGAGCTTTCCTATCCGAAGCCCCAGAAGCCCTTCGGGCTGACAACCTATACCCTCCCGACTTGAGCTGACATGCAAGGGTGGTGAACTGCTGCTGCTCCACCGTGATCTACGACCACGCCTGGGGCTAAGTTGGCCACGCCGCCCTCCGTGCTACGATTTATTTATCGTGTTACTATTCCTGCTATGTTGAGCACTGATTCATCTTTCAAAATGTCAACATTAGATCACTTGATGCCCTTTGTGACCCGTATGATTCGAAGACTTCTTGCGAGGACTCCGACAGCTTCCACGCGGAAGCCTGGTTTGCGGACCTCCAATCCGTGTCCCAGGTGAACGCCGTGAAGGCAAAGGATGACTCGGGCTGAAAGCCCTCCTCGGATTTTCGACGGCTCAGGGATGTCAAGGGTTTATAAGGATTGTGGCGTCCGGAGATGTTCAGGGTTTGGGTCTAGTATCCCTGAGATGTTGTTCTAGGTGTCAGAGTCTGCATGGGAAATCCTTGGTCCTCCTCAATCATAGGAAAGGCTTGGCCGGTCCAAGACAGCAGCACCATGTGCCTGGGGGCGGTCCTGGGCAAAAAGCCCAGAACGGATGTGCAGCCAACGCAAATGCGGCTTGGCATGTGCCTTCATGCCCCCTGGCCAGCCTCCTGATGCAGCCTACACGATGCAGTTATGATTTCCCACAGACTGCGAATGACTGCAACTCCGATACTTGCGAGCGGGTGTGCTGGCCGCATGGTGTTGTCAATGCTTCAAGAGGTGTCCGAAACTTTTGCTGCGCCTACCTACAAGAGAGCTGCTGGAAAAGCACCCAGCTCGGCAGATCATGTAGCGCACAGGGCTCATTCTGGACTCACTGGAGACCAACAGACATGGCGACCCAGGTTTGGGGATCCTGCCCATGGCCTACAACGTCCAAGCCCGAGCTGATGGATCTGATTCTGGCGTTCACGAGGCCCCTAAACCCGACCCCTAAACCCGAATCCCTAAAACCATCCTGGAAGGCAGCCCTCAACAGACAAGCATGCTGAGCCCTCCGGTTGCCCCCCCTAGCCACGTCTTTCAGGGAGCGGATCATTCTAGAGATGCCTTTGCTGCTTTCTGCCGACCCAGGTCTTCGGACCTGACCAGAGCTGGATCCAGACGCCTCACGCACAATCTGCCCCTGCCCCGGCAAAGCGTCAGGTTCGAGGCCTCCGAGAAGACTCCACCGTAGGTTTGTCAGGGGCTGCTAGATTGCTGGATCCTCAAACTCCGAATTGCCCGACTTACCCCGAACCCTAAACTCAGGCCCAGGCCCCTCCGTAGGAGAAAAGACGGCAGTTTGAGGCGGCGGCCAGGCTCGGGATCACTCCTGCGACCTTGGCCTTGAAGTGGCTGGAGCACCGAGGCCCGGGAGTCAGCGGAAGTGTCGAGGGGTGGTGTGCAGTTTTGTAGTGTATACTGTCTGTGCACGTAGGGAGTGGATAGGTGCGTATCAAAGTACGTACAGACGTGTACGTACATACCTACATATGTATAAGTATGTATTATATAGTTTGCACTACTACTATTCCTTCGAGTCTGAGGCCATTGTCCAGGGTCTCATTTTGAGTTGGATCAGTCTGAAGGTTCAACGTCCAGGACTTTCGGGCTTAGGCAGCAAGTTTGTTAGGAAATTGGTTAACTTATGTAGTTCAGGCCTTCATGTTGCATTCATGCCTGGGGAGTTGATGCAAGAAGTGCTAATGTTTGCGACACATGTCTCTTCTTCATAGCTGACACGTCTGCAGGATTTTTAGCGCTGGTCCCAGAACTCCAGGATCTTTTGAAGCACGGGGCTCGGCTTGATTCGCATGTAATCAGAGCTTACCAACTCGTGCAGTGTGAGATTCGGGGACTCGTGCTGCTGCCGTCACCATCTTCAGCAACAGTGCAAGCATAATGCCAATGACGATCGGGATTCAACGATCACGACGATGACGATAACCTGGAATTCTAGGAGCATGCATCACCATCATCATGATCTCTGTTGTGTTCCGGCTGGAAGGATGGCTACAAAGTCAGCACAGTACTGATTAGCAGCTTAGCAACACCCGGAAGGCAAATGACAAAGACTGCCATGCATTTGCATGTTTATCGACGGCTCTTCAGCTCCAGACTCTTTGTGTTCGGGATGTTTGTGAAGAGAAGTGGCTATCAACATCGAAACCGGGTAGAACAAACATGATTCAGGTTGCCAGCGTGGGTACGGTGCAAGGATGCTAGCAAGAGCCGGGTTCTTGCGAAATGGATGCAAGTACCCTTTGCCCTGGCTTGTCTTGCGGCTTCCACAATGCTTCTTCAACTGCTATTGGCATTGCTCCCATTGCTGGTATAGTGTCGAGATCGTGAAGCTGTCATGTTGCGGCTACAGAAGGTCCGTAGGTGTTTGCCTTTTGGATTCCAATGTTGAGTTTGATAGTTACTGGGAGTGGCATCGCCACAGGAGCGCCATGCGATAATGCCATGCTGTGCGGGTAAACAACGCCAAAGCGAGACGAGATGCGCAGAAGCTCGAGAAACATAGGGCCACCCGCAGCCCAAAACACGGGATTGCGCAGCACGGACAAACAGGGACGTAGAGAATCATGTCTCCTCAGTGGCGGCCCAGACGACGACGAGCATGCTTCAAAGGCACAATGAGGGCTCGACCGACGGAGTCTTCAAGCAATCGCTGTGCACGCAGAAGCAGCCAAAAGCCCTAGCCCTCAACTTATCACCAGTAGCAGAGTACAGCCGTCTTCAGGTCCACGGAGATTGATGACCATCGCTGGTTCATGCATATGTACCGTGGCCGCACTTTGCTTGCTCAGTGACACACGACAGCTTGATGTCCTTGGCTATTTCGGTTGGTTTCCTTCCGGCAACGAAGACCAGTTAAACGTGAAGCCGCCTGAGCCAACAAAGTGGTTGTATGACTACTAGAGTAGAAAATGAAGTAGCACAACAATGCAGAACCCTGTTATGCTTCACTCGTCAAGCAGCCATCCCCTACTCTACCGCCACAACTTGGAAGGTACCGCGAGGCGCCCTCAGTGGAGGCAGGGCATGCGTAGTTAGCTGCAGCTGTGCATGACTGTGTGTATATATATATATGTATATACAGCAAGGTACCAGAAAGGTAGTGCCTAGTTGTATCTCAACAACTATATGCACGTATGTATGCACGGAAGCGTCCGAATCAAGAAAATAACAAGGACCGTGTGTGCTTTCGAGATAGTCTTCGCAAGTGCAGCCATACGACAGAATTATCACCACTAGCACCATGGTCACAGACGAACCGCAACACGAGCGTTAAATTCTAAGCCATCGTCCCTAAACCCTAAATGCATTCAGATCGGATTCCCAAACGCCGAAGCTGTGAGAAGCAAGAGCTCCCTTCATTCCGTCAGCCATTAACCCTCAACCCGAAAACCTTGAGTCCCCAAACCCGTGAAGAATTTCGAACACCAAAAGCCCAAACTCTACTCTCCAACCAGAAGCCCTGGAGGGCTCAGCGCAACCACCCACTAAAAACCCTAACACCTGAAGCCCCGGCCAAAAAAGCTTAGAACAGGAACCTCAGATCTTAAGTCCCTCCTTTCCCTAGAGTAGAACAATTGAAGAAAAGCTCTGAGCTCGAATCTCAGATCTGCATGAAAGTCCTCGTGGCCACCGGCCTCGGGGCGATTCCACCTGCAGCGAACCCCGAGGCGAGCGCCCGGATTCGCAAGATCACAGAGTAGCCTAAAGGGGCTTTAAAAATTACCTATACTATTTTGGGGGGTTCCTTATTATGATTATAGTATAATGTGCCCCGAAACCCTATAAGAATTATTAAGGCCCCTATAGTAGTCTATAGGGGGGTGCAGGGGTCAGGGCCCTATAGACTGACTGACATTATTCCCCGGGGTTTCCTGAACATAAGTTCCTCTGTACTTTGAGAGACCTCCAGACCGTGTTTAAGTTATCAGGGCCCCTATAGAAGAGCTAGGACCCAGAGTAGGCCCTTATTCCCTTTTTGTAGGGTTCAGGTTACCAAAAAGGGCACCCTTTTTATTCCTAGGTTACTCTTAGGTTTAGAGAGGTTACGGGTTGAGTGTTCAGACTTTGGAAGTTCCTTGGGGTTGTTTAGGATTTATAGGATTTAAAGCATTTCGGCTTTGGGAGTAGGGTTTGGGAATTTGGGGTGAAGGCTTCAGTTGGGATTTCGAGCTGAGGGTTGGGAGAAAGGGCAGGATTTAGGAGTAATGACCACGGGAGGGTTCAGGATGCATTCTGGGGGTTTTCTCGGCTATAGGCTGTTGTTTGCAGGATGTGCAGACTCCGTAAGTCGGATGAGGAGCAGGGCTACAAAGCAAAACAAGCCTAAATGCCGAAGCAGCGTAATTCCCTGCTTAGCTTGTACCCCGGCAGTTTAAGTCGGGTAGTGCTGCGGAAAGGAGTTCGCCATCACGACGTGCGTCGGCCAACGCAATCCCGTCTTCGTATCACCTCTCATTGCGTGTTATCCCCCTGGCCCGGTTTGCAGGCCGCACTGTACTTAGCCCTCAAGCCTTAGACTACACACTGTCCCAACGTCGCAGGAGCCGCAGGAGCCGCTGCAGCCAGTCGCAGCAGCGCCACGGATCTACAGGCGACCCACACAGCTTCGTTCAGTATTCTGCAGAGAGAGAGATACGGCTTCAGGTTTCCGTCAACCCGCGACCTCCTGCCAACAGAATGAACTGTAGAAACTGCGGTGTAACACACCTCTTTGCGCAAGAACAGCCGCGAACGGCATATCTGGCTAAGCACCCTGGCTCGACGATGCTCCGTCACTTAAGCTTTGCAAATGGCAGAATGGAAGAATGGTAGCACCAGTTTGGTGTCTCGAGCTATAGAGTGCGGGTTATTTGGGTATGAAATAGCCAGCAAGAAACCGGCCTTCTCTACGCGCGGACAGGATGCACATCAACATCCAATATTTAAGCTTTGGCCAGCACATATCAGCGACAATTGAAGTGAACACGGGCTTCTTTGACAAGCAGTATGCTGCAGTGAGGCATGGTTGGATCTTGCAGAGGTCTTCAAAACAGAACCTCGAAAGCCACAAGCTCCAAGCGAATATTTTTTACATCTGATCTCAAGCCCATCACAACTTGCAAGCTGGACAGCCTCCGATCCAACATCCCAAGATCCGGGTCTTTGTCCCAAGAAGCAAGCCGTAAACAGGCCCGGCCCTGCACCAGAGGCAGGCAATGGCGATTAGGAATGCTTGGAGTGGAGCAGTTGTAGCAGTCAGTTCATGATCTACCATGTAACGTTACGGTTACCTGTACATAGAATTCTGTTTACTAGTAGTTATACACGGTCTTGGCGTCACTGGCTGTAATTGGGTGCTACTGCTACTGGAGCGGGATAGTGGGTTTCCTGCTACCAGGTTTCCCCGGGATAGCTCGTCGAAGTGCAGCTGATGAAGCATCTGGGCCATGGTCCAATCATATCTAGTCAAGTCTATCCGTCTCTATAAACATGAAACTGCGAGGCCAGAACTCAAATACAGGTAGAAACAGATAGTCGACGAATGGATATATGATATGTCAAGCAGGGAGATGCACGAGCTTTAGCTGGATCAAAGAAGGTTTCGAGTGTTCGGCGCTCAGAGAAGGGCTAGGATGATCTGAGAGCATGCCCCTCAACCGCCATCACACCCCACAGCCGATAAGATGTCAAGGGGTTTGGACTTGGGAGTCACCAGGATAATGCATCGAAACCTAAACCACTTGGTCTAAACCCGAGGCCACCGCCTGCAGCATGTGTCGTTCGGAGGTGCTGCCGCAACCATCTCCCGAGCCTGCGCCGTTGCGACTGCAGGCAAACAGCAGACGCAAGCACAGAGTACGGGCGTGCGGGTGTGTGTGTGTGTGTGTGTGTGGGTGGGTGTGTGTCTTCGTATGTTTCTGCTCAATTATGTAACCATGTATGCATTTCTCTCTGTCTATTTTGGCGTAAGAGTACACTTGTTTGCTCACCTCAGTGTTCTAGTAGCAAAGCAAAGTCGGAGAGTACAGACACAGAGATGACACTTCGCAGCCCCAGGAGTGTGCAGCAGCCGGAAGCTGTTCTTTTGGAGCCAGAGTTTCGAGACGGGTACGGGTTTGCAGACTGGAGCGGAGCGTTGCAATTCAGCGGGAAATCGAAAAGTCTGTGGATCAGCGTCGACAAGTTGCAAACGTTTCCAGACTTGCTCCGCGAGCTCCTCCAAAGGGTTCCGCCCCTTCGAGCCTTGACATCATCATCATCACCATTAATGTTGCGGCCTAAAGAAATGGAATAAGGTTTTGACGGTGCCTCATTATCTTTTTATAGTATTATACCTCAAGCCCTATTCTAATTATTGAGGCCCCTACATTATTCCACCAAGACGAGCCAGAGGAGAAAGGATGACAGGAGACGTCGGAACGGAGAGAGTGAAGTGTAAAAGGCTAGAGGGACTATTTGCAGCCATTGGCAAGGGGCACTCTAAACAAGTTGACCGGAAAGAGAGCAGCCACAAACGGCCGATCAACAATGAATGTTAGTCAGCTTCTACAGTCGCATAGATCGCTTCGATCTCCGTGGTGTTGCCGTTAAACAGCAGCAGCAATAACAGCAACATCAGCAATAACAGAAAGCAAGAAGACAGCAACTGACAGAAGCAGGGGACAACAACAGTAACAGTAAATACCGTTGTAAGTACAACAAACGCAACAGCAGCAGCCGCAGAAGCAGCAACTTCAGTCTGACTCAACAGCAGCAGAAGCTTTCCGCCCACCTGAGCTTCGGGGCCC